AAAGGCAAGGGGCATGCAGGTCTTGTCATTCACAATGCCCAAGTGTCCCGCAGTCTGGAATGGGTTTTATCCCCATAGAACTTGAGGTAGGAAACACGGAGTGGTTTTATGCTAGGTGAAAGAAACATATGATGTATTTTCTTCCAAAAATGACCTGGGGCTCTCTTAAAACTTAGGTTTTTTTACATGGTAAGAGGGGAGGCCAAAGGAGCAAAACCAACCAGATTTTGCACCTTGCTGTGGCAGGCTGGGAACAGCAGATAGGAGCACAGGCAGCAAACAGCAAACCATAAGAGGCTGTGTTCTTCACAGCCTAGGATAGGTTTGGCTCTCTGCAACTACAGCTGCTGTGGAGCTGGCTTTGCTTTGCTTTGCGCTGAAACACTCTGAGCTGTGGCATGTCTGCTGCTAATTAGATAAGCTCCACAGAGGTTACCTTGAGTGAGTTCCCATCTGTAGCTCGACATGGGAAGTTTTCAGTGAGCTCAGTGACAGTTTGCAAACTGCAGGTAAGTTCCCTGCCTGGCACAGGAACAGAGAGCTTGCATGGCTTGGTCTGGGTGAAGCCTTCTGTCCTCGAAACAGGAGCACCAATGGGACCACAACGATCTTCCTGGGGCTGTTGCAGTGTCAGCCGTGATGGATATTCATGTCCCAGATTTAATGGCAGGGCTGAGAGCCTGCGGTATTTGGGCTAGTGCTCTTTAAGGCAGACAGGCTCTCAGTATAGTGCTTACCACAGACTTAATGTACTTGACCCTGGCTACCCCAAAATTGCTTTTGGATGCATGTCCAGAACTTTGGCAAGAAACCTCTGATTTCCAGACTACAATTACATACGACCTATTTAGCTGTATGCTTGTGCTCTAACTTGGCTCTAAGCTTTACATAGCATCATCCCCACCCCTTTACTCCAAAGCAGTTTATAGAACGATGCAGTTGCTCTGCCTTTGGTTAGACACGGCAACCCCTTCTCATCTCAGGAAAGGCCCTCATGCTGATTATCCTAGGAGTTTTTCTCTTTACAGTTATGCGAGTTTGAGTTCTTAACATGGAAAAGCAGATTTGCAGGCATCATTTTAGGTAAAGTCTTGTGGATAGTTGTGCAATGGTATAAATATTTGCACTGCTAGACCCTTACCTGAGGTGCTCTAACATTAAATGTATTCTTTGGTGTTTGTGTTGTGATGGTGGCACACAACTAACCTGTGAGCAGTTTATGACCCCAGAACTTCCTCCTCTTCCTCCATTTACAGTTGATGAGATTATGAATTTAGCCCTTGCCATGGTACGCATTGTCTGCTTGGTTTCATTCCTCTTGTTTCTCATGTCCTTAAACTCTTTGCATTCTTGTGTAACTTTATTATCTTTTATTCGTGATGCTGTTTCATCAGCATGTTCCATTAGGGTGCTAAAGAAAATGCTAAATGAAATCAACTCCAAAGTCAACCTTCAAAAAACTGCCTCCAAAGGAAGAATCTTCTTCAGCCTTGAAAGGGATCCAATTCTGAGACCTCAAGATCCCCAAAATGGCATCTTCAGTGACCTGTAAGAAATTTACAGATGAAAAACTATCTCTCAGGATATGCCAAGGTGACTGGAAGAGGCCAACAAGTCATTGAGGGATTTTCACAGGATGAAGACAACAAATAAGTCCTCTTCAGGAAAAAAAACCCACACTTTTGTATAGTAAGTAAGTCACTTGGTAAACAGGGAACAAGGTAACCATCTGCTGCTGTTGTGGGGTATTTTTTTCCCCCAGTCCTCCTATAGCTGGGTTTGGAAGCCCACCTCCTTATGGACTGCGTTCTCCTTGGTCAACCCAAGCTCAGGAATCTCTTTTCTGAGCTTTCTGGAAGAGAGTTATCAGTCACAGCTTTGCTGTAATGAGTTGCTATGTGAATGGAAGCCCCAGGCTAGACACCACAAAGCTAAGCAAGGTTCTCAGCATCCCAGTGCTCTACTAATGCAAATAGGGTCTCTACTGATTTGAAGAGATGAAGCAACAGTAAAGACTCTCATCTGGACAAAGTCTGCATGGACACTACCAGTCCCCTGAGCCCTGTCTTGACACCAGTTAGATGAAGCAACAACATCTGAGTGCTTTTCCTGGGAGGTCTGATTACCTGAAGAGGATCATCTTGGGCTCTTTAGGAGGTCTAATAAAGGGGAAGCCCTTTAGTTGCACTAGCGGATTTTTTTAGGCAGTATTTCAGTGCCAGCACATAATTGTCTGTGATGTAATTTTCTTCCCTTAATAAATTCACAGACCCTGCTGGATATCACTACTGTTATGTTTGCAAAATGTTAGTGCTAATGGAGCCCTGCTTGTTTCACCTACCTTGGCAATATGAAACACTGGCCTCCTAAATGTAGGTTTTCCAAGGTATTCAAATGATCCATTCACCTTGGACTAATGGACATCTTGTTAAAGCTGTCAAACTTCATTTATGGTTTAGCTGGGGCTATGATCTCGTGGTGGAGCAGAGAGGTGCCCTTGTATTTTCTTTTGACAGTCAGCTAGCTGCTGGATTCCCCTATCCCAGGGCTTGCTGCTAATAGAGATGGAATTATATTTTGCTCCACAGCATATAAACCCATCCATTTTATTATGTAGACTTGGCCTGTTGAGTGCAGCAGCAGCGGTTCTAAGCTGATTGCTTGTTCTGATTCTCAAGGGTGAGGTTTTAAGGGTGGGTTGGTTTAAAAGCAGCACTGAGGGAAAAACTGCATCTTCAGAGTTATGCTCTGCATGAAACAGCCTCCTTGCACACCGGATACTGGAGAATGATGTGCATGTTACGCACTTAATGCCCTTTAAAACTGGCATGAGATACTCAGTCTTGTCCAAGTATCATTAATCACAGTTATAAGTCTCAGACAAAATGAGCCTTGACTTCATGTTGTTTCTTAACGTAAGAAATGTACATTTCAAGTATTTTATTTTCAGCTGCGCTCACTCCACTTCACATTGCAGTCAAAATGAATGTGTTTGAAACATTATTTCACACTTATTTGGACAAATTCTGTATGTACAGTATTTTTATAACAAGATGACTAAAATGAAGAAAAAACACCTATATGTGTCTGGAATACAAGAATGAAGAAGGGTTTCTTAGACTGCAGCTCACGTTCAATGTGTGATTTGAAATATGACTGCACTCCCCTGATAGTTTCTTCTCTTCCAGTCTCTTGGCTTTATTTTTATTTCCCTCCTGCCTGCCACCTTTCCTCCTTCCTCTTCCCTGTCCTCTCCCTTTCCCTCTCTTTTCCTTCCCCCTTCCTACGTTTTTCAGACATAAACCTGTCTAATCCAAGCCTGAGTTTTGCTCTAAGGCCAATCCTCTATAAGGCTTTCAGCAGGGCAGGCAGCACTGACACACATCTACTTCACCACTGAACTGGAAATCTGGAAATCCCTTGCATGGATGCAGTGATGCAGCTGCACAGGTGGCTGAAACCCTTGGGTAACATGGACCTAAAAATAAGGCACTGCACCACCTCTTCAGCCAGAATTCCTCAGAGGGCGGGGGCCAATGCAAGGATAAGGACTCAGGGAACATGTAGAGCCTGCAAGGGATCCAGTGCTAAGCCAGGTCTTGAGGAGGTGAGGTTGGCTGGAGTGGCTGATGAAGGGAAGCCTGTGGATATCTAGGAAAGCCAGGCACAGCAAGGCTCAAATTTAGGGCCCCTGCACTGCCTTGCAGAGTAGGTGCTGCTTTTCTTTCCACTTGTGTGGGGTCAGAGTAAGTTTGCTGCCAAATCTCAGGCTATGACACCATGGTTTTGATGCCCAGTTCAGGCACAGAACTCCTCTGTGTGCTTCGGCTTATGAAATAATCATTTGTTTCTTGTACAGATGAATAGTCCCAGGCATGAGAAGCAATGTCAATGCAATACCAGAAAAACCATGGTTCCCCGAACATGAGTGGTGAGTGCATACAGCCCAAATGCTATCTGATGAAAAAAAAGAGATAGTGTTTGGCTGCTCTGAGAAGGTGGCAGATACTGAACTAGAGCTGGAGTGATGGCAGGCTGGGGGAGAACGTGGGCTTTGGGTTCTCCCCTTAAAGTGATGTTAAACAGGAGAAAACAATCAAAAGTTCAGGGATTACTGCAGGACCCAAGGCTGAGGAGGGGATGTGCCTTGTGGGGTGGCTGATCGGGAGGGCTTTGTTAGGAGCTCTCAATCACTCATCTGCTCTGAAGTCAATGGCTGCACCTCAAAGGTCTGCACAACCTCGTGCAAAGTTTGGACCACAGCATTCCCACGCGTGATAAAAACTAGGGCTTTTCTTCTCCTCATACAGCCACCGCTTCTTTCATGCTCTGATACGTGCCCTCGTGGGAAAGGATGATATATTAAACTGCTTGACACAGCTTTGAACTTGACGATGACCCAAACCTCAGTTGTTGTTTGTGAAAGCCACCAGATAAACATCGATCAGGCTGGCCAGAGCAGGCAAGTGCTGCCTTTTGCCTTTATCAAGTTTGAAGTTTAAAAGCGAGTCACAAGGACTAAACACAGCACGTGGGTCTTTGTCAGAGAGGGCTGGGTGGGTTTGGCAGGCCTTTTTTCTGCCGCACATCTGTGTAACGTGATTAATGCCCTGAGCTTGGGACTTACAGTTTGTGTGTAAGGAGTTACTGTGAACACTGAGGTAGGAGGGCTGTGACAGGGATTCCAGAGCATACACGCTCCTTGCCCATGTGAATTCGTTAAGCATTGATTTATTTGACACCAGAATGAATCACGTTCACTCAACAGGAGCAGGCGGACAAGCAGTCCCGGAGGGCAGTCACCGGGACGGGGCCGGGCCGGGCCGGGCCAGGCGAGCGGAGTCCAGCGGCGGTGCCCGAGGCCGAGGCCACGATGCGATGGGCGCGGGCGGCGCCGCTGCCGCATCCCGCTACCGGGGAGGCGGGCGAGGGGCGTGCGGCGGCTCCCGGCCCGGCCCCTCGGGGGGGGGGGGCGGCGGCGCATGCGCTTATCGGGGGGCGGTGGCGGCCGCTCTGTTCGCGGCGCCGGCGGGCGGCTGAGGCAGTGGAGGGGAGCGGAGGGGCCATGGGGACGCAGGGAGCCGGGCGGAAGCGGCTGCCGAACCGGGAGCGCCTGACGGCGGAGGACGATGCGCTCAACCAGATCGCCCGTGAGGTGAGGAGCGGGATGCGCCCCCCCCCACCCCGTTCTCCTTTCTTCTTCTCCGTCCCTCCCGTGGGGTCCCCCAGCAGCCGCGCACGCGCCCCCGAGCAGCGGGCACTAACGGTGGTTCAAGGGCAGCTCCATGAACCGTAGCATGGAGCTCGCGTTCGCCTTGGGGTTGCCGGCCCCTTCTGTCATCGCCGGGCGCTGCTCGAGTCTGAGGTGCTGGAAGTGTTCATCCGGGAGGGTACCGCGGCAGCCCGGTCGGAAACCCCTGCTCCAGCCCCTCTGTGCGGGGAAATGAGCCGTGTGCTGCCGCCGGGGTGGGTGTTAGTGGCTGGGAACCGGGAAATAGGCCACGCCGGTTTCTATGGATGTAGATACACGAGAAAACGGAAAGCAGAAGATTGCGAGATGATGCTGAGATGCATGTGCAAGTGTGCAATCGAACTTGGAAACTGGCTTATTGTCTGTATTTAATGACTTCGGCTTGCTGCTCAGTAGACACTGCGCTGTGCTTGATTTGACTTTAAACACTTAGAACCAGCTGATACCAGTTTTCTTTATACCTCCCTACCCTTGGGTACCGTTGCACCGGTTCAATGGCAAGCAGGGGGCATGAATTTGGGTTTTATGTTTACTGAATGTGACACACACAGGTCGTTCTGCATCCTTGTTTCTAGTCTTCCGATGGGGCAGATGGGCAATCCAAACCTTAGATCAGGATAAGCAGCAGATGCTGGCTGCTGCTGGAGGTGGCCATCATCTTCCCCTAGCATGGGTTATGTGTGTCTCATGTCTGCCTTGCGTTGGTCTGACCCCCAGATGGGTTACAATACTAATTGCTCTTCTAGAAGAGATTTGAGTCTTGGTTTCCTTTCCTGAATCACGTTTGCAGCAGGATCAAATGATGTGAGTGTGCAGCTTATTTCTGGTGTCAACTGGCTGTTAGATTGAGCTATCTGTAACACCATGCACCTCCTGCATCAGCAGTGGCAGCCCTGAGATGGGAAGCCTTTACTATTCTTGTGTACCGTTTTGAAGTGGTTTGTAGCTTCTTTACAATACACACAGTAGGCTAATGTGAGTGATTTGGATAGTGTTTCCACAGGTCAAACTGCTGAGGCAGGGATGGAGGTTGAGGTAGGAGGACAAGAATGTCTTGTGTCCTGGACATAAGATAGCAAGTATAAAGTGATTGTGCTCTCTGTTGGAATTTGAGTCATGGTAACACCCTAGGAATTGCTTTGGGATGAGAGTTTAAATTCCACACCTGTGTCCTGGCTGTGCTGCCATTTGATCAAAGAAAGCATCAATCTGTGATGAGACCTAAATTATCCTTCTCTGTATCACATTTCTCTCTCACTTTCACCTTTCTTTAGCTGTTATACTGCTTTTCACTGTATTGAGCAGTGGTTCTAGGTTCCAAATATTGTGTTGATTTGGTTTGTGGTTTTTTTTTTGTTTGTTTGTTTTTTGTTTGTTTTCTTTTGTGGGTGGGTGTGATTTATTTATTTATTTTTTTTTTTCTTCTGGGGACTGTTTAAAGAACAAGTCCATTTGGTCAAAATCCCAACACAGTCTTGTCTTTTATCTTTTCCCTCAAGCGCTAAAACTCTGAACTGCTAAGTTCAAGGTTCAGCGTTTTCCCATATTGTTTTAACTCTGCATTATTCTGTCTTGGGTTTTAAGCACTCATAATAGTTTTGTTGTTTAACTGCCCATTCTCCACACAAAGGGTTCAAGATTAATCCTTCACCATGATCTTTAGGACTCTTAAAAATGTAAAGCAAGCCTTTTGTCTCCTCCTAGCAAGGGTGCTGGGAGTCTTCATGGCAAGAAGGGTACAGCGATTACTGACATTTTGTCCCTTGCAGGTGTTTAGGCAAAGCTGAGCCAAAGATACCTTGTGTTTGTGTGTAGGTTTTCACTCTTTTCTTTGGTCTTCCTTTGTTATCCAAAGCCACAGATGCTTGCAAGTTATTATCAGATTCCAGAATCTCATTTTGCTGTGTTCAGATGGGAGCCTAAAAGAGCATCTGAGCCTTTATTTAGAGAAGTACTTTTACCTTGGGATCTGTTGGAGTAAGCTGAAACGCGTTCAGCTTCTGTCCTTTTGTTTTTCCTCCAAAGGGATTGTGCTGCTTTGGCACTTAAAGTGTTATGTTGTAACTTTCAGAATAACCCTCAAAATCAGCAGTACTTGCTGTACTATGTGGTTCTGTAACCAGGATGTCTGGCTCTGTATGTGCAGTCTTGCATAGATCAGAAGAGATCCTTACACAGTGAAGAAGGCAGTCCTTACTCCCACGGGATGCAAGAAGAGTCTTGAGAGGAAGTAACTACGCAAGCGGAAGGAAATTGTGAAAGTGAAGCTTATTCTAGTGTTGGGGTTTAGTAGCAGTGTTAGTGGTGTTGATCAGTAGTAGGAAGTTTTAATGTTTGAGGCAATTTCTGAACTAGATCAGCTGCAAGTAGTTTATCATCTTGACTAGACATGTTTAGAGCAGAAAGTATAGTTACTGTAAATCACCTTGCCCATCAGGTCAGTAGCAGACCACTAAATCTGTCTGGGGAGTTTCTGACTCACATGATAATAAAATTGATGGCAAATAAGTCAATATAGTTAACATACAGACTGGGAATGTCATGTTTGTAGTGGGCACAGATGATTCCTCTCAGGATTTGCTGTGTGCACACCTAATTTGCAATGTATGTACATTGGTGAAGTTTGGTTTTTTTGAATGTTAGCTCTTGCAGACAAGAGTGACACTGATCAGTGATTGGCTTCTCTGCTTTCAGACGCGTGTTGACACCAGTAGGTTATTCTATATTTAGGTCAATGGAAACTTTTGGGCTATTTTATTCTGTCTGTGAATACATGCCCAGGAGTGTTAGCAAAATCTAGAGTTTGATACTTCTGGAGGTCTGTGCCAGCACAGCCTGCAGAAATTGCATATGTGTACAGTCATTTTGTCCTCTTAGGCTGGTGTATGTGTGGTTCAGGAAGGCAGAGTCCTGGGCTGCTGAACCTTACAGGGACTGGCTTCCTGCTTGGGTTAGGTGGTTTTGCTATGGTACCTTGAGATGTTGGTTAAAACGGAATGTTTCTTCCCCTCTCCCCCACATTCCACTATGCTCTTTGCTCCCTACAGTAGTAGTTAAGTGTTACTGCTCGAGCGAGTCCAGAGGGGGCCATGGAGATGCTGTGAGGGCTGGAGAAATTCCTCCCTGTGAGGGTGCTGAGGCGCTGGCACAGGGTGCCCAGAGAAGCTGTGGCTGCCCCATCCCTGGCAGTGTTCAAGGCCAGGTTGGACACAGGGGCTTGGAGCAACCTGCTCTAGTGGAAGGTGTCCCTGTCCGTGGCAGGGGTTGGAACTGGATGTGCTTTAAGTCATTTACACCTTGTTTTGGTCAAGTTTTGCAAACAGACCTGTCACACAGCTCAGAAAAAAATTCCTGCTTTGTGCCATGTCTGTGCTAGAAATCTTCTCTTTTTTCATCCAGAACTCTTTTTAGCTAGTAAGTAATTTGAAATTAGTAACTCCAACAATATACCATTATTTTCTGTGACAGTAAAATGAAGTTATGAAGGTTGCTTCTTCACTCTTTGTATGCTGTATGTCAAAGTTTCAAGAACTGTCCTCTACATACTTACATAGTTACTATCTTTTTAAATAGCTGTCAGGATCAGTTTATGGACTGATTGTTTCACTGGCGCTTTCAGTTTGTGCATTGACTTGCATTCTTAGGGATCCAAAAATGGGGATGTTACACTACTGTGAAGGAGCGGAAAGTGCAGGTGATGAGAAATAGCTCAAAATGTAGGTGAAACCAGCCAACCAGCTTTACTGCATATGGTAAGGAGGCACGAAATATCTTCAGAAGTCTAAAGTGGACTTTCAGAGCTAGTGAAGAGATGGTGTGATCTTTGTACGTGGAATCTAAAGGCCTGGCTTTTGAGTGGATAGTTTGAGGGAGCATTCTCTGGTTTGTACAACAATTTGGGTGACTTGTGTAAACCAAGATAGAAACAGTTTGCTAAAAGTCAAAGCTAAATCAAGCAGAATAGATATTTATATGTGGGAATGCAGGCCATGCAAACTTTCATTGAACTGTTACGCAAACCAGAGTGGTTACAGCAGCATATTCCCTAAGGATGTAATAGGCAATGTCTGTGTGAAGATCTCTGTGCCTTGTTAGTATAGTGGGAAAACTTTTTGAGCAGCATTTGGCATTAGAGACGCATGAAGCCTTTTGTAAGTCAGGTAAATGTTCCAAGAGAAGCCCTTAGAAACAGTCTGGTTTATGTAGCACCAACTGCTTGCATTTGACTTTTTTTTTTAACCTTCATTTTGTTACTTCCTGCCTTTGAGTGTTATAAATGTATCAGCCCAAGAGAAGACATTATCTGAAGAAGGATGCCTGGCTGTAATTCTCTCTTCTAAAATAGAACACTATGAAAGGAGGGATGCTCATGGAGGGCTTGACTCAGCCTGCTTGACCTAAATATAGGAAGGAAGGAGGACTTTGTAGGCAATGCTTTCCAGCAGGGCATGGTAAATTGTTCCAAAATTGAGATGATGCAGCAGATGTGCTCTTCTTCATTAAACATTCCTTTTCCTTGATGTTTTGCATCTGTGTATCCAACAAATGGCATTGGCATCACTTATGATCCTTCTCAAAGGGAATGTGTGAAGGAGCAGCTTTGGATGGTTTAAGAAGTGAGACAAAACTCTTAAGACCCATCTCAGTGTATTTGAGAGGTGATTGTAGCCCATCCCAAATGCACACTCTGCCTCACAATATGCCTATTGCAACTTCACATAATTACTTGCCTGATTTTGTGTCCTGGCCCAAGTCCTCTTCAGCTGTTCTCTGGCTGTTTGAGGAAGCAGCTGTTTAAGGAGCTGTGATTCCTATTTCAGTCAAGCAGGAGACTACTGTTAGGATTAACAACATGGGAAGCCCAGCCTTTTTCTCTGCAAGCCCAAATGCTGAGCTTGCCTGCA